TATTTAAGTTTAAGATTCAAAAAGAAAATTTCAATATTTGGAAAAGAATATTTGAACAGTATTGTCTAACTTATAAATTGTCTAACTTATACTAAAATACACAGTTATAATACTCTTTTAAGTACATTTTGATTGCTTGTTAATTTTTTTTGGAGTGCACTGAGCTAGAAAGTAAACACATTGCCCTGACATCGGCAACAATGTTTCCAATGCTAATGTTGTCCAATCTACTGGCTCGGCGTCCATCAGCCCCGCCCACTTCGCTCCACCCCACCCCACCGCCTTCCTGGGCGGTTGCTGTTGCTGTTGGCTTAATTAAATTGTGGTTGCAACTTGCGAAGCGAAGCGCGTACACAAAAATCACACACAGCAACAACAACAACAACACGACTGAAAAGCTAGGGCGGTAGCCACTTTATGATTGCAATTGTTGTTCTAGCTGCGGTTGCTGTGGTTAGTTTTTAATAGGCGCTTTTTAGCACGAAACACCCTGTGCTTTATGGTTCTTGCGAAGACATGATGGTTAAGCATTCCCAAAATGCATGCAAAATTAGAACCTCAGGCATATGTTGGAGGACTTTATAATTCCTGCTTAGGAAATTCTGATCACTCGAGCCTCGGTGGCGCAGTTGGCAGCGCGTAAGTCTCATAATCTTAAGGTCGTGAGTTCGAGCCTCACCCGGGGCATGTACAATTTTTTCTTTTTATTTTGTTTTGTTTTCATTAAAAATTAATTTAAAATGTAATTAAATATATTATGTGTATCAAAATAATATTTATGAAGCATTAAATGTAAAGGATGTAGACGGAAAAGTAACTTAGCTTGGTAGGGTCATAACTAAATAAGTACCCATAATTTTGAGCTTTAATTTTAAGTTTTCTAAAAACTGAAACCTTAAAAATTATTTTTAATTTATTAAATACTTTAATTTAACAAAAAATTAGTTAAGCTTAAGCCATAGGCAGCCCAAGAGCAACACAAAGTCGGTTGAGGTCAACATCCATTATGTTTTGCCCTCATTAAATCTGTAAACCGCAGAAATACCACATCTACAAAAACCGCAACGAAGACAGCAAAAACTTGGCTAACATCGTTATGAAGATTATGACGTTATTCACATTATGCATAAATCTTTAGGGAAAACCAAAAACTACAGCAACAACAACAGCAACAAACCCAGTAATAGCAATTAAGTTAACTAGCAAAAATAACAGTGTTGAGTCCCACAGAGATATGTAAGAATTACTCGATTTAAGAGAGAAGCAATCGGAAATTCATGGGGGAACACTTTAAGTCTTAAGCTAAATCCAGCGGGAAATGCAATGCAATTTGCAAGGACTCTACGACACCAACAAAATCGCAGGAAAATGCTCTGGAGCAGCAAATGCTCAACTCTCTTCATTTGCCGCCCCAAAAAGTATGCAATGAAAATCGAAGCAAACGAAGTGAAATGCTCGTAAATTGTAGTTGGCTGACAAGTTGACTCTTTGGCTGTATTTTCCAGGGGATGTTGGGTTGTGGCTAGTGGGTGTTGGGTGGTGGGTGGTGGGAGGCCGCCAGGATGTGCGGGATGACATTGCACTCGACGTCGACGAGTGCAATGAAACTGCAAAACTTGCTCCAGACAAGCCAGGAAGCGTCAGGCATATCAAATTGTTGGTGTTTGTGTGAGGCGAAGGAACCTCAACTCAGCTTCTCACTGCTCCTTATTTGCTCCTTGTGGACTCCACGTTCAATGTATCTCTCTTTATTGTGCATTTGTCCTTTGGCAGTTCAGCGAAGGACAAAATTCAATGAACGTTTTCCTGACTTCGCTGTTGCACTTCAAAAATATGCTTCCGGAATTTTAATATTTGGAACCACAAAAAAATTAATTTATACATATTGTTCATACTTTATTGGGATAAAATTGTATTTGAAATATTTATAACTCCGCAGTGGAAAGATCAGACGCTGAGTTATTAATCCTTGAAGACGAAACCCGATGGGGTTTGAAATATATTGGAAAATGGAGGAAAAGTATAATTTATTTAATACAAAAAAAAGGAAGACCTATAAAATTGCTTTTCACATCTTTTTTAAAATAATATTAAATTTATCAAAAAACAATACTGATTAATATTGTTTTTATTATTTTAAATTTAATTAAAAATGCAATTTAATATATTTTTCGTGCAGATTTTTCTCAAGTGCCTTGCGCGTCAATGAATGAAAATCATGACCAAAAATAGAGGGAAAAAATAAAATAAAAACGTTTGATACTCCAAAATTGGTCATAAAAAGGATTTTTATGAACCCGCAGCCACTTGAGTTCGCCGGTCTGTTGGTTGACCTTTCACCACCTGCACCAGCTGCACTTTCATTAATACTGTGTTTTTGTTGTGGCTTCACGAAGAGTTTTCTTTCAGACCAATTAAGTGCTGGCTTTCCTCCATTGCTTTTCCTTCATTGTTGTTGGCGAGCATAAAATTCAATCAAGTTTTGTGTTGGGCCAAAAGTTACGATGCCTCAGACAACAGCGCAGTTACCCCTTACCCCATTCCACCATTCCCCGTCCCCCCTCGATTCCGCTCAACACCCCGCCGACGACGACTGGCAGACAGACAGGACACGTTTGTCCTTACATTGTCCTCTGGTCGGTTGCTGTTGCATCCCATGGATCCCTGTCTAGACTTGAGTTGGTTGCCCTCCCTCCATTGCCATGACAACCGCATGCGATTTATGCTGATGCGAGCGTTTACCCCCTTTGGCCCACCCATACCCCAATTAGCACCCCTGCACTCTCCCACGCGTTGATATTGTTAAATGCAAATTAAGCTTTATCCCATTTCATTCATTAGCGGCTGTAATTTGGCCCGCAAGAGTCCTTGTTTATTAGCACCTCAAATCGGTTGGGGTTTCACACGAACATAATAACAGGGATGCATGCGGAAATAAAGTTTTACAAAAGTTAGAGATTTTTTAAAATTTTGGTAAAGCTAATTTCAAAACACACCGAAACTTTGCTTCATTAAAGTAAGATTTTAAATTTTTTGGAATTTATTTTATAACTATATGTAAATTATACAGGAAAGGACAGTTAAATGGCAGGAATATAAACGCATAAAAAATCAGTTAGCTTTCACTTCAAGTATCATTAATTTTCATTCAGAAAACGTTTTAAGCTATTAGATTTTTGCCAAAAAATGTAAAATAAAAGAATTTAATTATTTGACATATATTAGATTAGCTATCTTATTTCATTAAACTAAAAATCATAATATTTAAATTAATATTCGCTTCTTCTGTAAACAAATTTAAAAAAATGAAATAATTTGGTTTTGGGTTTTGTGCGTTATAAATGTACAACCCCCCTATTGCATCCCTGATTATGCGAGGGTGAAAAGTGCAATTGAGGTGCAAATTCCCATGCGAACATTGCTTCTTTTGTTGCTCCTTTTCTTGGCTAATTTGCAAACCAATTAAATGTCAATTTGAGGCATTGTTCCTTAACCTCTTGTTCTCCACCACACCATCAATGCCGCTTACCCCCTATGTGGAAAAAGTTTTTTTCGCCACAGCCAAAGTTTCGCCCATTGCCTGTCTAGACTTCTTTGGCAGACTCTCACGACTTCTTCCTTCGACTGCAGCCCGAATTTTCCCCGGTAGTTTGCATTGCGTAGTTTGCATAACTTTTTCCCCAAACTCCTTCTTCTTTACTTTTTCGCCCAGCGCCTTTCAACGGCTAAGTGAGTTTTAATGCCGACAAAAGCGCCCAAGGGTGGAGCTTTTGGTTTGGGTTTGGGTTTTCCAGCCAAATCGGCATACGTTGCGTATGCGTTATATGTGCATTTATAGTTTGTATGCTCAGCTTGAATATTTCAGTCAATTCACTCATTATTCATGTCTGTGCGCCACTAGCTGCTTTGCTTTGCTATGCGAAAACTGTCGCCCCCAAAAATGACACGCCCCCGCAACCGCAGTCAGCCGGTTGGCTGGTCGGTTATGGTCAGAATCGGGAAAGGTTACGTATCCGAGGGAAAGCGGATAGGGGTTTTCATACTGGTGAAAAAATTTTATGCAAAAAGGACAAAAACAAAGTCCAAAAAATTGCACATTGCAGTGCACATAACAAGATGGATAAGGTAAGCCAGGGTTAAACCGAATTTTGAATGCTTTAAAAAATAATTAAGTTAAATTTCAGAAATAAAAATAATTAAAATGAAATTTCGTACATATTAAATATATATTAACTATGTTGTTTAACCACATTTTCAGCATATCATTTGCAACAAGTCTCCAAATGTTTATAAACAAGTTTTTACCAAGCGATCTCTAAACGTAGTTTTTGTTAAATACGTTTTCATCTATTATTACCTCGCTGTTGGAGAAGTGAAACTGTAGTCTGCACTGCCAATGCAAACTTTTAATCACCTTTCTGATCCCAAAGTGGTCATGACCCAGCCCAAGTAAAAGCCTCTCCTGGCATTCGAATATGGCTGCGGGATACTCGGCCTTTTTATGCCGAGAATCAGAGCACCCACACCCACTCCCACGCCCACGCCCACCCATTTGCAGCACAATGGTGGGATGGCGGCAGGCAGACCCAGCCGGCCAATGAGTTTTTGAGCTAAAAGTTGAATTGTGCATCGACGTCCCCCCAGGACGCCCCGAAAAACCCCCCCTCGCCCACCGCCTCTGTGTGCGTGTGTTTTCGACTGTCTGTGTGGTATGCACTTGTCTAGACATTGGCTAGACAGTGTAAAACCAAAAAATAACAGCAGCAACAACAATTACAGTAAATGCCGGCGACACAAAACGAAACGAAACGAAATGTTGCACAATCCACGTAGACCCCCCCGAAAAAATAATCGGGCGAATGGGACCGGGAGACATTGTCGTCGTCGTCGTCGACAGCGCGACGGCGGAGACAAATTTTTGGCAATACATTTGACAAATTTCCGTGCGAATGCAGAGTACCGCGAGCCGAGCAAGCCTTCGAAAAATCCACTCCACACCATTGTTTTCTACTTTTGATTTTATTTGGTAACTAAGCGGAAACTACTGGGTAAACCTAAGTGGAGACCCTCCACGCCACTCGCCATCCTCCGGCGCTCCGTTTACGCGCAACCAAACTTCTTCCGCTGGAAGGGTTTCGGCAGCGGAGCCAACAGATTGTTTGTCGAAATGCTGACGTTGACAAGTTCGTTAGGGCTCAGCCGAGACACGTGCACCAGGTGCTGCGAAAAAGAGAAATACAGGTGAGAAAATGTACGCAAATAATGGGCGAAATGAAGGATTTAGTGCACGTATGGGATGGTCGGGAAGCCTTGAGTAGTTACTTTTATGCCTACCGTAACACTGTAAATCTTTAAAAGGGTGGAACATTTAAACTTACCTGTCGCGGCAGCTGCGACTTAAGACTCAAACCCTGTGAGTTACGAGCAAGTGAGGATCGCTTTCCGTTTGATAACTTCTTCGACTTGCTAGTAATCACAGGTTCCTTTGACTCCAGATGCTGATTCCTCTCCAACACATATAAATTGTTTTCGGTGTGAGCCATAAATATATCAGGATTGCTTGGATCCAAGCTAATACCACTGATGCAGTGGAGTTTGGTGTCCGGGATCAGGTACTCATCAGTTTCACAGGTAAATTTGCGATCGATCAGATCGTATTCCACCAGCTGACCATTGGCGTAGGCCACCACCACCCGCGGAAAATCCTCGTGCATGGATAAAGCGGTCGTTCCCGCTCGATGTCTTGGTAAATTAAGCAGGTGCTTGTACTGTTTGCCATGAAGCCTCCAGACCGATATAGTTCTCTCAGAGGTTGCCGCCACAATGTAGCCGCCACATGAGGAAACCACTAAATGGCTAATGACACCCTTGCAATGGTCACTCAAATCGATGCTTTTTTGGAAAATAACTTGATCATCCTTTAAGTTAAACCAATTAAGATGATTGTTTTGGGGATCGAGAAGCACCAGGTTTCCTTGTTCAGTGAAGATGATGTGGCTGGCTGGTCTGAGTTCCTCGGGCAGGTCCTCCTCCAGACGTTCCACCTTCAGGGGATCACTCCTCAAAACATTTAAACGAAGTTCCTTCAATGTGGAGTAGCAAATCCAGTTTGCATCTGGTGAAATGGCAGCAGCCTGAATGAAGTTTAGCTCTTTGACATTAAGTTGAAGCAGTTTCTGGGGAGGTTGCTCTAAAAGTAGTTCCTCCGAGTGCCCAAGTGGCTGTGCCCAGAGTTTACTCTTCTCCTCTTCACGTGGAACAGCAGAACCCAAGCGCCACAGGTGTAGACTGTTGGGATAACGTAGCAGCAAGAGCTTTTTACTGGTGGCTAATGAAGCTACGGATCCTTTGAGGAAAGGAGCGTGCTGCGAAAAATTTGCATGCGTCCTCACGCTAGATGTAATGGTCAGTATGCCATCCAATCCTCCAGAAATAGTATGATCATCTATAACCAACAGGGATTTCACATAGTACTTGTGGGCATCGCGCTGCAGAAACTTGATCCATCTTTCACTGGTGGATTCCTCTCGCTTGATCTGGGTCTTGCTGAAAATGCGGATAAGTGGTGGCTCCATTCCACTGCAAATCAATCGATCCTCCTTTTCGTTGACAGCCAAAGCAAACACGTTTTTATCCAGAACTCGTGTGCTATCGATCTGCGTGGCATTCTCTGCATTCCAAACGGTTATAAATCCAGCTGAATCGCCAGCAATAATGGTATTATCCGATAGAAACTGCAGGGACCAAACAATCACATCCTTTGCGGAAAGAGTCATGGTGTGGAGAGTTGTTCCCTTAAGGACATTCCAAATGCGAACACATCCTTCTGTGCCCGTCACTAATTTTGTTCCCGATTTGTCAAACTTAATGCAGAGAACACGGCCCTTCTGTTTGTTGAAAAGAGATTTGTAGGTGATTTCGTCGTTCTCGATGCTTAGAATGTTGATGTGACCCTCCTCGGAACCCACGGCGATTTCCGTTTCCGCGGGGTTTACATCGAGACTCCAGAGGGCATTACCAGTGGGCGAGTGCTCATAGCGTGGCTTTAAGTTTGCCAAATCCCACTCAATAAGTTTGCCCGTAAGATCCACTGAAAACAGACGACTTCCAGCCCAAGCCAAGGATTCCACAGGAGAATCGGGTGACAGGTGGATAACGCGGTCCAAATAGGGTGTGTGCTCCAAGTTCCACATCTCTAGTATTGGGGTTTCGCTAAAATATATGTTCTGATTAGCAATCTGCACAGGTTTATCAAGTTTCAATGTTTCTTGATTTTTTACCGACTCAAAGCGAGGCACTTGCTCACTTTACTGTAGGCCAAACTAACAATGCCACGCGGTTTTATCGTGTAGAAGCGAACGTTGTGCAACTGATGCTTTCCCCCTCCCTGGGGTTCCGTTTTCGAAATATTCGTCATTGTATTTAGTTCTAATAATTATTAAATCACTAAGAAAATAACAATAAAAACTGAAACTAAATTCCTCTGGTGTTGCACGTGTGTGCCTAAGAGTTGCCAGATGGTCCAATACGTGAAGTAAACAAACCGCGAGAGTTGCCAATTCGGTAAAAATATACTAGCTCTTAACCCCTATGCTGCCAATGTTAAATATTAAAAATTCAAACTACAAACAAAAACTTGCCAAATCGTAAAATAATACTATATCTAGAGTTTTATACGTACACGTAAAAATAGAAATAGACAATATTATTCAAAAACTATTTAAATAAAAAGTTTGGTGTCCTACTACTTATAGTATTTGGAACCCACCCTCATCTGGTCACTCTAAAGGCGGGGGTGGTTTTTGCAAATGTTTTCTTTTGTTGTTGCTGCCCTAAAGGAAAATGATTTCAGCTGCAAATTAAACCAATCAGCTAATTTGATTAAGTTACAAAACCAATAAAAGATCATAAAGCATGATATAGCAGAGCAGGATCGAAAAAAATCACACTTGGAAGTACAAATAAAAGCAACTGCAAAGATGTCGCCAAGTTCTGTGTGGACCTTCGGCCTCCTGAGTGGTAAATAAATAAGAGGAAAAAAGGTGAAAATCAAGGCAGAATCTTAATTATGTACCAAATCAATAGCTCTGCTTGTGACCTTGGGCGCGACTGCGATTTCTTCGAGGGTTCTGGAGCTCAGTGACCGATTCATCGATGTGCGTCATGAGGGCCAGTGGCTGGTCATGTTTTATGCACCCTGGTGTGGCTACTGCAAGAAAACAGAACCCATATTCGCTCTGGTGGCTCAGGCGCTCCATGCCACCAATGTGCGGGTGGGTCGCCTGGATTGCACCAAGTACCCGGCTGCCGCCAAAGAATTCAAGGTGGGATTCGGCATAGTTTCCAAATACATTTAATAAAACCCAATATCTTTTAGGTTCGCGGTTATCCCACCATCATGTTCATCAAGGGGAACATGGAGTTCACCTACAACGGAGATCGCGGACGAGATGAACTGGTGGATTACGCCTTGAGGATGTCGGGTCCTCCAGTTCAGCTGGTGACGCGAACGGAGAGTGTGGATATGCTCAAGGGATCCCATACGATCTTCTTCATTTTTGTGGGCCAGCAGGAGGGTGTGGTGTGGGACACGTACTATGCGGCAGCAGAAGGTTACCAGGAGCATGGATTCTTCTACGCCACCAGTGAGGATATCGCGGCCCAGCACTTTGACTTTGAGAAACTGCCAGCAGTTATAGTCTACAAGGAGGAGCAGCATCACTTCTATCCCCACGGACACTTGGCGCACGAAATGGACCCCAATGAAGTGAACGAGACCGTTTTCCAGTGGGTGAACGTCGAAAGGTTCACACTCTTCCCGAAGGTCACTCGATTCAACATCCATCAGCTGCTTAAGACGAACAAGTATCTGGTTCTGGCTGTGGTGCAGGAGGATAAGCTTAATCAGATAGCCACCCATGAACTGGAATTCCGAGACATGGTCGAGGGCGTGATAAGGAAACACAGGGCGCGATATCACGAAAAGTTCCAATTCGGATGGGTAAGCGATAGTGATAGTCATCTTTTAAGAACTTATCGAACTATTTCGTTCAGATCGGGGAGCCATCTATAGCACATTCCATCATTCTGGACCAACTACCTACGCCGCATTTAATAGCGATTAACTCGAGCACTCAGCACCACTTTTTACCCGACGATGATCCCATTCAGATGACTCCGCAGGCACTTCATCTTTTCCTGGAGTCCATCAGCAATAAGAGTGCGGTTGCATATGGAGGAGATACGTATTTTGTACGTCTAAATCGTGCGCTATTCGAAGTGCGAAGAGCTCTTAGGGATATGTGGCTGGGAAATCCCGTGCTGACCACTGTAATCTTTGGCCTGCCGCTTGGGTTCCTCTCGCTTATTATGTATTCCATTTTCTGTGGCGATTGTTTGGTTACTGAGGATGATCAGGATGAAGATCACGAAAAGAAGGAGTAAGAGGATCGCTTAAAGAAAGATCGCATGAAAATTAAGAGGAAAGTGATGGAATCCATGATGAAGAAGCAATTAGATAAAGGTAAATCTGGTGATCTCGAAAAATTGAATGTTTTGTAGAAGATCCCTAGAAAAAAGTGTAACAAAACCAAAAGAAGAATGAAAAGAAAAAGGCCATAAGTCGTAGCAGATCCCATCCCCTAGAGCAACTTTTCTACCGTATATATATGTAAGCCAAATCTAGTCCTATGTCAAGGCATCTCATCTCCGCTGGTCGAGAATTTCCAAATCCGCTTAAAGAATCGCCATTTGACACAAAGAAATCAATTCGCCATTGTGCGTCTGGTTCTTTTTTTCTCGTTTTAAGTTAGTAAAAGTAATAAACATGATTTAGCGGATGCGAAGAGTGTGGGGTCAACTTAAGTTAAGAGTTGCGGTATGGCGGGAATCCAAGCGGATCAGCAGCCGTAATCATCATCATCATCGCTGTCGATTGCTGCTCTACGACGATCGTACTTTACGGAGGACTTGCTCTGCGGCATCTGAGCATTGACGCTTTCGAGGATGCTAACGAACTGGGCGTCATCGAGTTTTCCACGCACCTGACCCATCTGGGCCATGCGAATGACCATGTTCTCGAACATTTGCGCCTTCTCCGGCTTGCTCACTTTGAGGGTGTTCACTTTGGGAGATTTAATTGTCAATAAGGGAATATCCATAAAGTTTAGGAAGCGTTCAAGCACTTACGTCGTGCTCTGGCCTGCTGATCCAGAACTTGAGATAATATAGAGTGCTTCATCTCTTCCTGGGCGCGCATCTGCTCCTGCTGAGCCTGTTGCTTTTCTGCATCGTTGCCACCGCCGCCGCCCTAAAAACAGGTGAAAGGGTTAAAAGGTCATTGAAGGAAAGGACTTTAAAGGAACAGGTGTCTCAGACACGCCAGATGACTCATACGGCTTATAAGCAAATCTTCCAAGACTTGAAAGTAAAAGAACTATTTAAGCCCATAATCTAATACTGCATATATATATTTTTGTTATTAGTTTTAATGTATAATTACTAATTTTCTCTAAGTTATATCTATTTATAGAATTCTCTAGGGGAATGTAGCCGGTTTGGAGCCTACCAAATACTTTACTTACAAATTGCGACTGCATTTGGGACATGCGCTGAGCGCGTAGGGCATCCAGATCTCCATCCGACATTCTGAGTTCTTAGTTATAAACAACTTATGACAGCTAATAAGACAATGCTTGAGTTTTTGCTTCTTAAAAAATATAATCACGCAGTTTTTTACAAAAAAGTGTGCAGCCAAACAGTGTGACCTTGCTGCGTGGAGTCTATCGATATCCCAAGACTCATAAATGCGTTTAAGCAGCCCTGGCCAATCGGTGTTTTCCAGAAGAAGAAGAAGTCGCAGAGGAAAACGGAAAACGGCAGGAAAACAAACAAATAAACTGGTTATTAAGGCATAAAAACCACTAAATACGTTACAAAATGTCTGCTCCACTGGAAAACCTGGAGACCCAGCTGGAGATGTTCATCGAGAATGTGCGCCAGATACGGATCATTGTCAGCGATTTTCAGCCACAGGGGCAGAACGTTCTCAACCAAAAGATGTAAAAATACCTAATAATAAGGTTAAACTGTAATTAATTTGTAATATCAAATGTATCCACCCACAGTAACAGCCTGGTAACCGGCCTCCAGGAGATCGATAAGCTTCGCTCCCAAGTGCAAGACGTCTATGTGCCCTTCGAGGTGTTTTTCGACTACATCGACCAGGACAAGAATCCCCAGCTGTACACCAAGGACTGTGTGGAGAAGGCTCTGGCCAAGAACGAGGAGGTCAAGGGCAAGATCGAGAGTCTGAAGAAGTTTAAGTCCAACCTGCTGCTGGAATTGTACAAAACCTTCCCCAACGAAATGCACAGCTATCGTGCCTACCGCAAGGACTCAATGTAAACCAGGGATATACCACCTGAATCCTAGTTTTTAAGCCACTTGTTGGAATAAACTTTATATTTATGTACATAAAAGTCTGTGTTTTTATAAGCTAGTTTTTTTGTGTGGCTTTACGTTTATTCTCTTAATCTGATTTCTAGAATATTCGAGATCTTTATAGGAAATAAACAAAAATTAAAGATTTTTTAATTAATGTCTTAACAATTTTACGCTTCAATTAAAGTGTTTAATAAATTCAGTAAACTTCAAATAATTTTCGAACTCTACAGCCCTGTTCCACAGCGTTGCCACACTAGCTTTTTAACAGCTGTTCTTTGTTATTGTCAGCTTGTGTAATTTATAAAGTTTTGATTGTGTATAAAAATTGTTAAATTTAGTGTACAAAATGCGGAGTGTGATAAATGGGCTTAAGAGTGCTGTAAGGGCAACCAATTATTCACCACTTGGCAGAAATACTGTGCCATTAGAACGTTTTCGATTGCCTGAAGTTCGACAATTTGCAGCCGAATCCTCGCCGGCTTGTTGGAATTGCCAAAAGCAATCGAAATTAAAGCAGAATATGATATGTTCGGATTGTGGACATTTGCAGGATGTCGATGCGGGAATAGTAAGTGTATTTAACGATTTTATTTCAGTTTAATAAACCTTGGTTATTGTAGAACTACTTCGACTTGTTGAGCTTTCCCACGCAGTTTTCTTTGGAGTCCCAAAAGTTAACAAAGAATTTCCGCCAGTTGCAGACCATAGTGCATCCTGATAAATATAGTAACAAGTGGGTATTAGTTTGGAATTATAGTGCCTGGATATAAATATTTTAAATATTTGGGCTTACAGAACTGAACGTGAGCAAACCAACTCCGCGGATTGGAGTTCCTTGATTAACAAGGCTTATAAGACCCTTGCCACGCCCATAGAACGTGGGCAGTACCTTTTACAATTGGAGGGTGAGGAGATGCCCCAGGATAATAGCGCCTTAAATAAGGAATTCCTAATGGCCATGATGGAACGGAATGAGGAGGTGGAGGATGCGGAGGACACTCAAACTTTGGAGGAGTTAAATGCCCAACTTATTAAGGATTTGGATAAGATGTCCCAGAAACTAAACACCCTCTTTGCAGCCAAAGATATTCAGGGAGTCAAGGGAACTCTGGTGGAGATGAAGTACCTACTGAGTATTCAGAACAGCATCAAACAGAAGCAGCAAAGTTTGTTGGGCAGCTGAAAAATCAATAATCGATCGACAATCGGTTCTGATCACGCACACACACAAGTTCACCTGTTGCTATCAGCTATTAAGTAAACAATAACACTGAGTTCGGTTGTTTTATAATGTGAATAAAAATCGCAATGGAACGGTTATGGTCGATGCAATTTGTTAATTATCAATAAGTGACCAACCAAAACGGGTTTTTATCCACCTTCCGATGTAAGCCCTTAGAGTTTTTCCCCTTTTCATCGAGCAGCCTGTGGCACGGTCAACAGTTTGGAAATAATATAATCAATTAATCGCGGCACTATCTGTTGGACTCTAGTCCCCGAAGGGGATACCCCCTGAAGAACCTAGAAACGTCATACCGCAAACTCATGCCCACTCACACAGGCCAAAAACCTTTGTAGGTATGGGCGGAAAAATCGGCGCACTTAGTTCCTATAAATTTGTATCGCTGCCGCTGCAGCGAACAGTTCTTATTAACTGGTGACAGCGGTTGGTTTCAATTGCGGTGGAAAAGCCTTAAGTTTCGGCTGGGAAATACTTCTGGACCCCGGAAATACTCTTGCAAATGTGCAGCGATTTTAAGGAACAATTCCACAGAAACACAAACATAACCAGAGAGGAAATACCTTTGAATTAATCAATACCTCACGGAGAAGGTATACGTAAAATCAAAGAGATAGGCTAAAAATTTTTAAAAACAAGAAAACAGAAGCAGGTAGCTTTTGATAAGAGATACTTCTGAACCTCTTAAAAGACAAAAGCAATCTAATCATCAAAAATAATTAATTAAAATTAAAAGTATCTGAACGAGTGGATTATAAAATGTTTACTGACAAATACGTACCTCTGCCATTAAAATAATCAATTTTTTAATAAGTAATATGAAAATTCAAGATATTGCTGGAGAGTAATCAAGAAAAAGGTATACACAGCTAAAAATAATAATAAATCCCAAAGAAAATATTAATCAGGAAGTAAAACTTTTATCTCTGAATTAAAAAACCTTGAACCAATATATATTAATCAGAGTTAACTAAAATCTGTGTTTAAGTCCTATAAAAATGCAGAACCGCTTGATTAGCCTGCTGATCTTCGTTGGCTCACTGCTGACCGCTTCAGCAGCCATCTCATCGCCCATCATAGGAGTTCTCACCCAGGAGGTGTACACCAATGGCTTGATCTCGCGACACTTCGATAACAAGACCAGCTATATAGCCGCCTCGTATGTGAAGTATCTGGAAGGAGCCGGAGCCCGTGTAGTGCCCATTTGGTGAGTGAGCAGACAGATACCGGACCAGCGAAGATTGAGAGATCTTATCGTTGTCAGGCTATTTTTCCGCACCTTGATAAGGTTCAATATGGTGGCATTAAGTATTCAGTACGTGTATTTATAGAACATAAATCTATAAGAGAGTAATTTTGATTTGTTGACCCGTGTTTGTGTAGTTTCGATAAGATTGCCCGAAATCAATTAGTAAACAATTTTCCTATACCCTCGACAGGATCGGACGCAATCACAGCTACTACGAAGATCTCATGAACAAGATAAATGGGTAAGTATAAATACAATCTCTAGGAAGTTCCCGCTTTTAAATTTATTGATGTTTCGACAGAGTTTTACTGCCCGGTGGTTCCACTTGGTTCAATCAAAGCAATGGGTATGCCGATGCCGGCGAACATCTCATCCAGTTGGCTATTGAACGGAATGATCAGGGGATCTTTATGCCGGTTTGGGGCACTTGTCTTGGCATGGAACTGCTGGTTTACAAACTGGCCAACGGCACTGAACATCGCATCAACTGTGAGGGAACGGGAATTGCCCTGCCAATGGAGTTTAAAGAAGGTATATAAATATTAGGTACCTTAGTTTTAAAATTTAAATATATTTATTACTACCTAGACTTCGAAAAGAGCCGCCTATTTGCCTCCATCAGTGATGATATAGTGGCTACCATGGCCAAGGAGAATGTCACCTATCACTGGCATCAGTTTTGCTATACGGAAAAGGACTTCGAAAGGGATCTTCTAAACGAAACCTGGCGCGTTATGTCCTTGAATCATGACTGGAATGGCATTGAGTTTATATCCACAATAGAACACATGAAGTACCCCTTCTACGGGGTGCAATTCCATCCGGAGAAGCCGATGTATGAGTTTACTAAGACGAGTATTCCCCATACCGCAGCAGCTGTGTTAAGTGGTCAATTCTTTGCCGATTTCTTTGTGAGTGAGGCTAGGAAAAGTAGTCAGAGCTTCGCCAACACCACGGAACAGGCCAGGACACTAATCTATAACTACAAACCGGAGTACACTGCCATTTTGGGCTCCTCATACATCCAGCAATATTTGTTCACCAATGACGAAATGGAAATTCCCGATATTCCAGAGATTCCGGATGATCCTGATGAGAGCGGCACTGGCTATATTCCCATTATTGTAGACGGTGACGGTGGTAGTTCCACCCTACTACCACTATTCAATGGATTACTCCTAACATTGCTGATCCTATCAATTAATTGATTGCTTAGACAAAGTTTGGTGATGTTGGCGTGGAGTATCGAGTCTACAAACGAAATTCATTTACGCACTCGATAATTATGGAATTAAGTTCTCATGCTCTTTGATCGATTTTACCCTGTTATCTTTAATATTGTCTATGTGGGGTGAAATATTGGCAGAATATTTACGTACTAGCAAAATATTAAAAGAGATTGTCTCTGTGGCCAAGGGTGACTCAATTTGTAAATTTGTGGTTCTTTTAATAGATGAAATTCACAGGAAGGGATTAATTGATAAATGCTTTAAGTGATATGGATAGAATATTTTTGTTTGCCTTTTGCCCCCAAGGTAGTGAGTAATGATATCTCAATTGTTAATTAAAAGCTTAAAGTCAGGGTCTTGTCATTGGAGTTTGGCATTTCAAGTTCGTTGAACTTTGACCGCATAATGGTATATTTATTCTTAATTAAATTAAATTCTTATTAAATTGTCTTAATTCTGGGTTTACAAATATCATCATAAATATCATAGAAACTAAATTATCGTTACAAACATTTAAAACTAATGGGATTGAAAAATTTCTTAACATATGCGCTTAAAAATAAATTGTAAGGCTACAGTTTTAGAATCTTCGATATAGAAATGAACCTAAAAAGTATAGTTTATATTTTTTGGTATTGAATTAATACTTACTTTTTAGTTTATTTTGTATTTAATTTTCAAGACACACTTATTGTAACTAAATTTAATTTTTTTTTCGTGGTCTATGTATAACAACAACTTGTATATTCCAAGAAACCATAATAAGATTTATAGCTTAAAAGTGTTCATATTATATTTGTTTAATTATTGTCAAATAATTTTTCTTACATTTATTCAGGAGGAAAATAAGTATGTATACCAAAGAGGTGTTAATACCACCCCCAAATCTGACTGATTTTGTGCAAATCATTTTACGTTAAAAGAAAGCCTTCTTGGTTTTTCCTCATTTTCCATTTTCAAAATATTGTAAAATCCCCAAAAGTAGGCCATCAAATTTTAGATAAATTTTTCTAAGTTCGAGGCTGTTGAAATTTTGCCAAGTTGCAAATGCATTCTGTCAGCTTTGTTCGCGTTTATACGCTTTTGTACGGCTGTTCAGTTGGCCATAGTCGCAAATCGGATGACGACCATGACGGAGAGCGCAAGTCCCAGTTGCGAATCTCGCTACGAAATACCAACTATTGGCGTCATGTGCATCGATATTGCCAGTACATTGCAGAAGAATTATGGTCGGAAATTCTATAGCTATATAGCGACGTCTTATGTCAAACTTCTGGAAGCATCCGGTGCCCATGTAGTGCCAATTTGGTAAGTGGTTATAAATACTAATTGGTGAAAAGTTTATTTTGAATGGGCAGAAAGATTTGATTAAGTGCCAGTGATAATAAATGTTCTGTAACGATAAAGCCAAAGGTTGTATGAGTGAAGGGTATAGAATCAATTTAATTCATTTTATTATAATTTAATCCATATACGTTGTTTGATAAGCCGACTGTATTCCAAGCATTTATCTTGCGTAGTCACGTAGTTGCCTTAGTGGGTACTGTTGATAACACTGAAATAATGAAGGAGAAATCGGTAGCCGCTCCTTGCATTGGCACAATGTGCATCGATTTGTCCCAGTCTTTGTGCCGCATATATGGCCAAAAGTGGCACAGTTATTTGTCCGCTTTCTACCTAAGCACTTGGAGGCCGCTGGGGCATTGGCAGTGCCCATCTGGTGAGTTGAGCAGACCGCCAGATTAATGATAAACAAATTGCATAAACAAACAAACTAAAAGGCAAACGGCCGGGGAGCAAAGAGAATTAATTATCCGCTCGGCAGTGTGCCAAATAATTCTAGCAGAATGCCATGCGATTAAGGAATGAGGCGAAAAAGTGTTCATAGTTAAGGTTTATTTATTGTAGCTGGCGAACACTTATGATGTGGTGGACACTTAAATATTTTAAACATATTAGGTTACAATCGTTTAAAAATTTGTTCGCACTATTAACGTATTAAGTTTGTAGGTATGCATGCCATATATTTTAGTTCAATATATGGCTTACATGCCTACAAACAAGTAAGCGAATAGGTCTTTTAAGCCTTACAACTTTGTATTTGAAAGTAAGATACAAATATTTATGTTTTATTATTTTTGCCATCTTCTTTATTCAGTAAAACGCAATAATTACTCAACAAATGGAAAAAGATGGCATGATATTTTAAGTGGCTTTATAAACATCCAAAGTAGACAGTTTTGAAAACCATAATGATTGATTTTCCTGCAGGATCGGTCGGGATCGAGCATACTATGAGTCAATGATGGGCCAGCTGAATGGCATCCTTCTGCCGGGTGGAGCGGTCTTCATTGACGAGGCTGATAGAAAAGCCCGTCCGGATCTGACCAGCGATTGTGTCCGGAGTGCCGAGCACATTTACCAGCTGGCCATGGAGCGGAACCAGCGGGCGAGAAAGCAGGACGATGCCGGCGGGTATTTTCCCATTTGGGGAACTTGCCTTGGCTTCCAGTTGCTCCTTATCCATGCTGCCGAAGATCCCAGAATTCGCTCTGATTGCCAGCCAATGCGAAAAGCGATGCCAGTAAAACTAGTCGATAACTACCAGAAATCTCAGCTATTTAAGTCTTTGCCGCATTCCGTGGCCGAGGAGATGGAAAAGCTACCCTTTGCCTGCCACCAGCATCGCTATTGCATCACGAAAGAGAGCTTGGAGTCCTGCGCAATAGCCAACGATTGGAGTCCTTTGGCCACCCAGAAGGATCCTACTGGACTGGAATTCATTACGATTATCGAACACCGGCGTTTTCCCATCTTCGGCTGCCAGTTTCATCCAGAGCGGGCTGCTTTTGAGCAGCGTTTTAATGCGAAGGACCTCTGCTACTTGGCGCATTCCTCTTCTGGCATCGAGTTGTCCCAAATCTTCGGCAGTCGATTTGTCGACGTTTGTCGTCGCAACACAAATCGATTCGATACTCCCAAATTAAAAGCACGACATCTCATCTGGAACTGGCAGCCTGTTTTCTCGGGACAATTCGAGGATTCCAACTGGCTGCAGTGCTATCTTTTTGAAAAGGACGTAAACTATCCAGAGGAACAAAATGAATCCGTGGAATCTACCTCAACTGATGATTTGTGATAAATAACTGTGAACTATGAATTAGAATCTCATGATCTTCAATACCTATTAATTGATGAATTTTTATATTTTAATGAAATCGACCCAAATATATAACATTGGAAAGCAGTATTTTAATGTAATAAAAATAATAATTTGTAATAGAAATAATAATTGTTTAAAATGATTTTTTGCTGGCTGGCAATGCTATCGATACCCTTATTTGTTTGGGCTCATATTCAGCTTGTCTTAAGTACGCTTTCTTTCAAGTTGGAATTTCTAAAAATTTTCCTTTTTGTTCTTTCCCATTTCCAATTTCTTTTGCTCATCGCATAGAGTAGTTGTAAGTACTTTTCCACATTTGTTTCATGCAAATTTCACGCTGTACTTTTCCGTTCAATTTTGGTGCGCGCTTTTCCTTTTCGGGTTTTCAAGGATTTTCAATGGGGGAAAGCCATTTTTTGTTGGCTCCTGTTTTCCCCCAAGCAAATGGAATATTTTTGTTCATTTTTATGGGTTTCCTTTGGCAAGGGGTATGTGTATTTTTGAGTGGTGTGGGAATGGAAAGGACAGCATTTGGGTTTTAGCTTCAAGTGATTTAGCTAATAAGTTAAGTATATGCTTAAGCTGTGACGTGTGATTATAAATTACCTATATTTTTGAAATTGCAGGTGTATGTAGGTGAGTAAGTTACACCTAACAATTTTTTGTATTTCCTAAAGGGTATTTACTAACCAAAATTTTAAAATTTGTCTATTCATTGGGTGCATTTTTTGGAAGGCCCCTTTTCGTGCGTCTACTCTTAAAATTTCCACTCGGGGGGCTCGTCAAAAGGTTTTCTGCTCATAATTAGCGCATGACATTACGGAATTTTTTTCCCGTCAGGCTAATGGTTATTTGCAAATTCCTTTGCATTTTCCATTAGGCGGACACTGGCATGGTTATTTATTAAGGTTTTTCCGCGCCAGGATTAAAGTTCAGTCTGAGGTGTGAACACGAATTATTGCTGCCGGTGGAGCGGCTTGTTATGGCACATGTTTTTGTCCGATTTCCATTATTGTGTGCGGCTTCTTGGCGCTGCCACTCTCATTGTTATGTCCTGGTATCTCTGCGTCTGGGTCTCCGGCTTTTCCGCACTGTCTGGCTTCCTTTTTTTTTGCCTTTACCCCTCTATTGTGACTATTTTCTTTTTCTTTTTGATCTGAAATCACATGCTAATGAGTCTAGGTGTGTGTCTAGCCTTTTCTTCACTTGTTAATCATTGTTGTTAAGTCGAAACATGTGCATTGATTTGTTTGCCACTGCTTGATTTCTGTAAATTTCTTTCTTTCAGATAATTTTCGAAAAATTTATGGCATTGAAGTGCTAATAACTAATAAACAATAATTCAACTTTTAGAAATTACTGGTTTTTTATTTTTGAAATATTTTTTTTTTAATTGTTTACTTATTGTTTAATTAATGTTAAAATGGATTTTGCATTGCATTTAATTGTTTAATTTACTAAAGTTCTTCTCATAATTGCTTAAGTCTTATTTATTGTAATTATGTTACTGTAATAAACTATTTATGTTCTTTAAAAACAAGTTATACCTTTATATGATTTAAGTATATTTTTATTAAGCATTTTATTCTTTAACTTAAAATCATTTATTAACACGAGATCTCGTTGATTTGCATATTTGCGTATTACTATGATATTTACTTACATTTCTTTTGTTTTGTTTTTATGTGTACTCATGTTATTGTGTGATCCTGGCTGGAAAAAAAGTTGTCAGCATAAATGCCGCATTAAATGCCCTTGTGCCCATTTTATAGACTCACTCACATAGATGAGTGTATTCACACTAACAGAGACACACATTCACACTTGGGCAGGGGTAAAGAAAAGGGTTCGAAAAAGGGGCGGGGAAAATGGGGAGGCAGAGTGGGAGTGGCAAATTTGAGGTAGTCCGGGCCAAAGTCTAAAAGTAAAAGTTGGCATATTTCTGTTTTCTCAACTGAAAATTAAGCCGCCTTTTCACACACACACACACTCTTACTCATTTGCAAATTGCCTCTTATTCTCCCCTTCCTTTTTTCTCACTTTTTTGTTTGTGTGTGTGTGTGATTGTGCGGCTTTTACAATGACGTCATAGCTACGATTCCTATAAGGCCGGCCTTTTGCCTTTTTATAACCTACTTGCCGTGCATTGAACCGGCCTTCTTTCTCTCTCACTCTCTCACTTTTCACTTTTCACTTTTCCCACCCCCCCTCAGACTTTCCCAGCCTCTCCACAGAGAAATTTTTTCTCTCGTACTACCAACATCTGGTCGAATTCTCTCGCAGGAGAGCGCAACTGCAGTCTGCAGCTCGACGTTTTGGGCCATTGAACTCATGCTGCAAGGACATTGCAGATGCCGTCGAGTGACATTACGAAAGCAACAACAGCAGGCAGGACACCAACAACAAATGACAAATTCTGCAGAAGCCAAAGGTCCTTTGGACACAAGTACCCCTCCACGTTGGCCACCCCCCCTTCATGCCAGCAGTTTTTTGGTAAGCCCCCTCTAGACGCACAATTTACGCTGATTTGGCATTTAAACTGCAGTTGAAGGATACGGATACACACACCCAGCTCTTGTAAATGCCGTCGAGTGTGGTTGTGTGAGTGCGTGATATTTGCGTGCGTGTGAGTCTGACTTTGTAATCCTTTTAACTGACCCGACAAATGGGCGTGACCTAAGAACGGCCTGATTGGAGCACGATTTTGCCTAGATTTTACGGGCTTATGTCGTGTATTTTCCTTAATTTTTACCTTGCTTTTTCTGATTCTAATTATATTTTAGAGAATATGTTATAACTTGGCTTAAAGGTTGGTAAAAACTATTTCAAATTAATACCAATACTTCAAAAAATAAATTATTTAAAATTGAGAACTACGGCTTTGTTGTTGAAATTGCAACATTATCCATTGTTTTTCTGAATTATGATAGCTTGCTGGGAATTCTTTATTTTTATAATTTGTTCAAATTTCTTTTAGCTATTCATGTTTTAATTAGATTTTTAATAAAGCTTTCAAAGTCTTTTTTAAACGAACTAATATATTTTTGTAGTTGAGCAATGCAACAACAAATTTAATTATTAAAAAAAATAAATATGAAAAGAAACTTAAAAAAAAGTAGTTTTCAGAATATCGGCAATGGTAAAACTATTTGCAGTATTTACATATTTGTTGTTTTAAATTGTCAGTGAACTTACGATATTACTTCCCAAACAAGTATGTCTTGTACTTATTTTTAATTTTCATTCTTCCGTTTTCAATTTAAAATTTCTTCCATGACACTCAAAGATAATATCTTTTCCCAGTACTGGTGGCTAAAGAGCTTTTAACTATCTGCCGCCCCCTAACAATTAAAATTGCCATTTTCATGCGCTCGCTCATTTGTCAAATCGTGTTTTTGTTGGCCTCTGACTTCAACTGGGCCATAACCATTTGTCGTTCATTTTGGCCCATTTTCGTTGCCTACTTTTGAGGGACGGTGGTTGGGTGGTACGGTGGCTCAGGGTTTTTGGTCTAATGGGGCGCGTGTGGTGCGGTAAGCCTCTTAAATGCTAAAGGCCCAAATGCTATCGGCCCATTTGGTGTTGCTGATTTGGGTATTTTATTTTTACATTGCTCCGGCAATTATGGGCTGTCGCCTCGCGTTTGGCTAAATTTAACCTGAAAGGCGGGGCGTGACATTCAGCAATCCACCAAATCGGCTCTATATATATATATATATATATATATATATAGTGACATGTGTGTTTGTGTGAGTGCTTTGCTTGTGACGTCATCCGCGCTCTTGCAACGTTCGAAGGCCAATCGACAGCGGGCCAACACAAAAGCTTCATTATTTGCAAACATACGAGTATTTGGGTTAAGCCCGCGCCCAAGTGGCATCCCTTGAAAGGATTAGACCAAGGATGTGGGCCTCATCTTTGTTTTATCTTCCTCATCAGTCATCACCTCGGCGAGGTGTTTTTCAAAGAATTTTAGTGGGTCAAGTGTCCTTATGGCTTTCGGATTGTCTCTAGCTCTGACCTCTGGCTGAAGCGATCTCAAGACATCGAAAAGAATCCTCGCCTTGCGCGCCACAATGCAAATTGTTGCAATTGTCTTTTGTGGGTGGCGCTGGGCTCTCGTCTCAAGGTCGGTGCATTCAAATTAGCTGCACTTTATTTATGTCTCGGCAGCCAAGTATCCGTTTTAGTCCGGTTTTTATGCCAGGCACGACGCGACAGAATGACGCCTTTGGTTTTTGGTTTATTAATAAGTGCGAGTGGAGGGCAGGACGGTGACTGCTCAGCTGCACATGAATGCTTCGAGGGCAGATGGGGTCGTGGCTTGCATATAAATAAATAAAAGAAAAAAAAATAAGAGAGACCAGCAGCCGCAAAAAGAAACTGTACCAAATGCAGTTCCCAAGCCAGTGGCCATATTCACAGCCGATTCAATTATGTGCAAAGATGAGGAGGCCATTTCTGAACAAGTCTGATCACACCTACACAGTAAGCATTTTCTGTACGATTTTCAACCGCTGGAAATAGGGTTTATATGAAAAAGACGCAAGCATTAAATAAATGATTGACTGAAAGTTAAATTAATATAATTCACAATTCTAAACTAAACTCTAAAATATTTAAATGTTAAATGGAATAGCTTTATGCTTGCTATAACAATTTAAAATAATCATTTTACTTTTTTTAGATTTTTTAAAAAATGTAGTCTAGTAAAACGCTTTAAAGTTCCGGCGTAGGAAAAGGGGTTTTCCGAATAGGTGTGGAAATGGCGGCGGAAAAACCGCAACCGACAAACGTCAACGACTCTAAGGACAACAACGACGGCGACGAGCTGTTAGCCCCTGACCCAGTTAAACTGAGAGATAGAGTAAGAGCGAAAGAGAGGGCCAGACAGTGTGGGAGAGAGAGCGAGAGGGAGACAGTGCCGACGTCACCACTTGGAGAACCTTCGTTAGGTGCACGGATGACGATGCTTAGCGCAGATGCCCTTGCCATTTGCCTTATCGCAGTGGTAACAGCGGAGATACTCCTTCAGAAAAGAAGCACCCACCGAACACCACCCACCCGCAAACACCCTTTGACCCCAGACCGCCAGGCAAATGTCTACTTTCCGCTCCACTGGT